AGTAACAGAATGAATTTATGCCAAGTAAATAATACCTAAGTTCAACACCTAAATTCTCTTAACACGTGTCACTGTACTATCAAGCAGATCGATATGTGAGGAGAATCAAGAAAACCATCAACATTATTTTCTCTCTTCTGTTGACATCGAAAACTTCTCCGAAGAAAAAGTCAGTAAGGCTTGACTTACTGGGTGCATATTGATAAGCCATCCTAGCCTTTCAACTGGTTCCTTGTAGCGATCAAATCCATACTTAACATCGAGTGTGTCATTCGACTGAATCCTGAGAACTCTTGCCTCGCTCGAACTTCCTTCATCAGGCCTAGAAGAAGAAGCGATTAAGAAACAAGGTTGATAAACACAGCCCTCGTTAACGGTGTATTGTAACATACATCAGCCATTCAAAATTTGGATAAAATACGAAAAGACACATTTAAAATGTACAATACACAAAACAAATTTTATCACTCAAAATCCAACATGGAGTCCCTCACCTTGAGCGCGAGCGAGAACTGTTTTCCTCGCTTTCCTCGCCATCTCCCTTCTTTTTTTTGCCACTGTTCAGAAGAACCATGGCTGGTTTCACAAGTTTCTTTAGCGATCTATTTCTCTAGACAAACCATCGAGGAGAATAAGAAAGTTAACCGTTCGATACGACTGGCGATCAGAGAACACAACCGCGAAGTTGTCGCATTTTAATTTTTTGGCGCGAAACAAACCTGCGCTGAGCTTATTAGCTTGCAAGCTAGCCGCTGACTAGAGTCACACCTTGTAATGGTTATTGTCACGCAATCTCGAAAGTTATCAATCGCTCGATGTGGGCTTATCCCTGGAGTTTATAATTGAAAAGTAACGTGGATTTAAGCTTGCTATTAATGTTTTAAAAACTCTCTAAGACTTGAATCGTTTCTGAATGGAAGTAAAGTCATTTTCATGATCAAAAGTTGCCTTTTTACAGAATCCAGAGGTGTTTCAAATCGTCCAAGATGAGTGGCCCAAGGTTCAAAGGCTACACTGCGGGCATGAATCCAAACGCTCACAAATTTTTCGATGGATTCACATGCAAAGAGACTATGGAAGCATCACACAAGTGCATGGCTGACAATGGCTACGACAACAGCAAGTGCGAAGACTATTTTAAGGCGTACAGAGAGTGCAGGAAGGAATGGCAGCAAGCGAAGAGGAAACAAAACAGCGCGACTTGACCGATCAGACGTTCGGCTTTTTAAAGAACGCCTGATCACATTCTGCGTTCTCTCCAGCTGATCAAAAGCTGAGACTTAGATTGGAACATGGTGTTTATAGGCTAGCTTGTATCTCACCCAGGTGCATCCGTTGGTCACCAAAGAGGGATGACACGAATACACACTGAATAACCTTGAAAACAAATGATTTATAGAGCGCTCTTATTTTACGTTTTATGGCCAGTTAACGGTGATAACTTCGAATAGTTTCAACCCAGCGTTGCATCTGTAAGACTGTTACATTAAAACAATTATTTCGTAAATGTGCGAGTAAGGAGCGACTGGTGAACGTTGCGTGACCACGCAAATACGGCTGAGTTGGAGGCGGGTTGTACTTTTGAAATTTTTAAGGCAATGGTTGTTTTCCATAAGTATAATCATGGCTCAGGCATCGTATAAACTGTACATCACCCTTGTGTAATTAGTCTTGTGCGACGTTCTTTAATAGTTCGTCACGTTATATTCTCCTAGAAAAGATTGCGTGACGAGCCAAACTAGCCGTCCAACCAGGATCGAGGTTCATTACAATATTAGCTGGGTTTCTTCTCTTTTGCATTTGATGTGTTGCGCTCCACCATTGGTTCCACACTTAGAGTGGAGCTACATGTCCTAATCGCCCAACAAATTTGACGTTGACATGCTCACTTTGTCACGCAATGTAAACACATTTTCATATTTTCATACAAACAAAAAAGTGTAAAAAGAAACACTTCCATAGATCAACTAAGTAATTATGCGAAGTTCCATAAGAATCCATAGCAATCTCATGGAAATATGAGACCACGAAATTGCCAAATTTGATAAAGAAGTGTATGCCAGGTACCCCATGCGATATGCGGGCATACATTTCTTTGAAAAAATATTTACTAATTTCAGCATGAAAAATCTTAAGATGAAGATTAGTTTCTGTTTGAATGAAAAACTCGGAAAAGCGTAAAAAAACCAAAACGCGTGACTTGCAACGTGTTAGGTGCATTTTTCACGCGCATGGCAATTGGCATCCTCATGCCATGGCCCAGGTACGAGGATCGTTAGGTGAGTGAAGGTGAGTAGACGATGGCAGATAGCATGGACTTGATACGTATTTTGTGCATTTAAGGGAGTTACTTGGGTGATTATACTTAAATTTGGACATACAGTGGAATCCCGATTTTTCGAGAAATCGGGATTCCACTTAAGATCTAAGTACATTTGTCGTGTGCTTTTAGCATTGCGTCGGTTACTGATATTGATTATTCGTCTTTTTCGGAAACCGTCAGAAGCCTGTTATGAATTCTGTGATGTTTAAGGCTCACAAGTTTTCTTTTACGATTTTTTTTTTTTACCGACAACTTTTCTCTATACTTTGTTTAAAATTTAGTTTATTAAGATGTTTGAGGTAAACTAAATATCAGGTCAAACTTTGTTTCAAAACAAAATAAATGAGTCCTGTTTCCTTCTAGGCTTCTAGTGCTTCATTTGTTTGATGACTTATTTAGCCGAAGCCATACTTTTCCCATTTGTTCATGGATCGCAGTTCTTCTTTCCAAAACTTTCTGTTCTCTTCGGACTCCTTGCGAACTTTATCCAGCATCGCTAGATGTTCTGCCATCGAGTCGACTTTCTCTTCGTCTGATTTGGATCCATCTTGTTTGTCGGCAGACCCACCTGACATGGAAAAAAAAAGCATTACTGAGCAACCAAGTCACAGCAGTAAGTTTTGCCGCGCTCTAACTGAAAGGCTTGGGTACGAGACAGCTACGAGAACAACCTCCTCCTCCTAATCATCCTCCTCCTCCACCACCTCTCCTTTAATGCCCCTTCTCCAAATGGCAGTGTCGACAATTCGGCAAAAAAATGTGAGGAAGCACAAAACTACCATGAATGACGAAAGATTTCAGCTTGCTTTCATCACTAATCGTATATACAATGGTTCATTAAAAGGCGAATAAAGAGGCAGGTACGTTATTTGCGCACGCGTGCTTCCAACAGACTTACAGGTCCATAATGAAATATTAATTACTGAACACTTTTTGATAGACGTGATCTTTACGCGTGGTGAGGTAGGCCGATCAGCAGTGAAGTCGAGAGAATACATCATGGGGAATACTCTAACTAGATTGTTCAAACGCTTGTTCGGTAAAGAAGAGGTGCGGATTTTGATGGTCGGCTTAGACGCGGCGGGAAAAACGACAATTCTATACCAGTTAAAACTGGAGGAACCCGTCACCACTATTCCAACTATAGGATTTAACGTCGAAACGGTCGAATACAAAAATATCAGTTTTACTGTATGGGACATAGGCGGACAGGACAAAATCCGTGTTTTATGGCGGCTTTATTATCAAGAAACCCAAGGACTTATTTTCGTTGTGGACAGTAGCGATAGAAATCGCGTTGCAGAAGCGAAAAACGAGTTGTTTCGACTTCTAGCCGAGGATGAACTTCAGGAAGCTGTTCTTTTGATCTTTGCAAATAAACAAGATCTACCAAACGCCATGTCTACCGCCGAGCTGAGCGAGAAGTTAGGGCTGCACAGTTTAAAGGGAAGAAGCTGGTTTATTCAGGCAACGTGCGCGCTGAAAGGCAAAGGACTTTACGAGGGTTTGGAATGGCTTTCTCAACAGATTCGAGAACAACAGATCAAATTTACATGAAACCGTGGTTAACAAGTTGCTTCAGTCAATGGGAACCCGGTCTTCACCTCAACGCTACGTACAGGGGAGAAATCAGAAGGAAAAGATCTCGGTTCATCTGAAAATCAGGGCATTCAATACGTCGGACGGGACTCAGGAAAAAATATAGAAGAGGGAACGTGAAAAAC